AAACTTATATTAAAGTTTTTCTTCATTACCCATTCAAGCCGTCTCCAATCATTATTTTCTCAAAGTGGGTTCCTCGTCATCGAAACTGACTTTACTGTTGCTTGAGCACTTCATTTCCTTATAAATGAAGTAAAGAGCCTGTTGATATCTAATCCCAACCTTCTGTTAATTGTTGGATTTGTGATTCTTCGACCTTTCTGTGTTTTCAATTTCATCTTTGGGCTTACAATTTTTCAATTAATTAAGTGGTAACAGTATGTATAATGGTTTTTATTAGTCGGACTATATTTTTATGTTATTTTAATTTTTGCTACAAATGTCCGATAGATTTTTCTGCATTTTTAAGTTTTTAAACACAAAACTTGGAGTCTTGGTAAGAGATAAAAAGTCAATTTGAAAACATGTTCTAACAAGTATTGTGGAGGGCTGGTGTATAATGCAAAGATATTCCACTGTTACTTTTCAAGATTTGATCCACAGTTCAATGGAATAATAAAAAAACAAGACAAAATAAAGTTTAACTTACTCTCTACATCTACTACTATGCAACACTACATGTTCACCTCTATGGAGAGGTAATTAATGTAATTTTTCATCAACATTAATAATTTTATTTATTTCTTTTTTAGTTTTGGAGTTGTAGGGAAACCATGTTTTCTTCATTTTTCCTTTCTAACTTCTGGCAACATTTCAAAGTGTGCAAGAATATTATTTAAACGTTTACAAAGTATATGAAAGTATCTTATTTATCATAACATATTTGTAATGAAGCAATGAAACATTATAGTATTTTTAAGGAGCAGACTTACAGAGTCACAGTGAATATTCTTATTGACTACAATGTGCAGTGAATAATTGCCTTTATTTTAATTACCAAAGATTAAGATAATTTTATAAAGCAAACATATAATTGATTTTTTAAAAAGAAACATATAATCCCAAGATTTAGTTGCATGTTTGTATGTATACATATACATATATATATATATATATATATATACACACACACATTTTAATAGTAATACTTTAGTTGTAATGTTGCTTACTTTTTACTAAAAAATTACATTTTCAAAGACCTTTTGAGAAACCACTTAAAGCCTGTTTTAAAAAGTTTAACTGTAAAAATGAATTGCCTTTTATATTCAAAAAAAGATTACTAAAAATGGTACTTGAATTTAGGTTAAGGATCCCTTTTGATGAAAGTAAAAAGCAAACTAAATAATTATTGATAGAATTAATCTAGCCCTCTAAGAATTCAAATTTTAAATATATTATTTAACAAATATCTTTTGCTTAATACATATTAGCTTTTTTAATACAAGAAGATTTTTCAGGTTTTTCATTCTATGGTCTGTTTATTATTCTTTGAGGAGCATGGATTGAACAGCCAATACCATTTGATTTACTTTTAATGTTGTTCATTTTGGGGATTTCATACGTCTTACAATCAGCAATTTCTGGCCAATCACAATACTTCTTCTGTGGGTTGAAGTGCAATTCATGTGGGCAGGCCATTAGCTGTGGCTTTAACAATGAAATGGAACATATTAGGTACTTAGAACACTCTGAAGGATGAGGAAATAAAGCCTCATCTTTTGGACAGTGCAACACAGACTGGACATTCACTGCTTCCTTCACACCACCCTTATTACCAGATTTGTCAATAGCACGAATTGCTACATAGTAATTTCCCTCTGGTAAGTAAAAGGATATATACTGCACAGTGCCAGCCGGTTGAGGTTCAAGGGAACCCCTAATTATATCATTAACAGAAATGACATTGTGTTTAATATTTTCAAATTCTTCAATAACTTCATCTGGAAAATCGGTTTTCAGGTACTTTATTTCATAGTTTGCAGCTGAAAATAGAAATTGGACTCAACACTTTAACTTTTCGAAAAGTCTACAAAATGGTAATACATTAACGCTTAACTCACAGTTTGTGCCAAGTTGAATGTTAATGTTGAAGAAAAGGTAAAAGGAATAAATTATAGATCTATAGCTTTTTTTGTAAAGGTTGCATTTTTGTGTATCCAAGTTTTAATTTATTGCTGAAAAATATTTCTAAAAAAATTCTGTCATTTTATTATATTTTGAGTAGTGTGCAATTACAATTAACAAAATATATGATATACTTTTCAAAACAAGTTTGAAATTCTGAATTCAAGAATTTATATTTATGAACATATGCACTGGTACAAAAATGATCTTACCTATTCCAACATTATAGTCATCCCCTGGTGCCACCAAACGAATAGTAATAACCCCATCATTGAATGGGGGAGAAACATTTTCTAAACGATGTATTTCACTTGGAGGTATTCTGTCTTCTTCAGTAGAGTTGAAATCAATGGCATTTATAAAGGTGCCTACTGAGACAACTCGCTGAAAATGCCCTACAGAAATGCCAAACTATATATTATGAAATATGTTGTGTGGTAAATTTTCACATGAATTTTACAATGTTTCTCTTTGAGATATTTAGGTTACCTGCTATTTTTTGTTATATAACTTCTAAAATAAAACATTCTTCAAAATCAATATACAAACTTTTGTTATTGTCAACTATATTACACGAAAAGCTTAATTTGTGATACTTTATTGGCTTAATTACTAACAGAAGATTAATAATGATTAACTACGTAATGTCTGTTTGAATAAATTATAAATCATCTTAACTATGTTTTGAATGGTTATATTTATTGTGGTTATCGTGCCAGTGCCACAGCTATTTGGTGTATAGTGCCTGATGTGACTATCCATATGAAATAGGACTATAAAAGTATTCCATTATCAGGGGCTTCATGTCCCTCATTCCTTTTTCTTTTTCCTTCAATGTAACTTACAGTATATTGTTTAATAATCACAGCAACCCCTGCCAGGACAGATTTAAAATTCAAACTGACTCTCTTTATTGTACTAATTCAGCAACTGTTATATAACCTACATGCAACATAGCTGTCACTTCAATTTTAGTTTTGATAATATTTTTTCTGCTCCTAAGTGTATCTTTTGCAAGATCTATTAATGCTTGAAATATAAAGACATTAGTCAATTCACTAATTTCCATTAAAGCCACTAAACTGAATATGTAGGAGCTAATTTAAGCAAAGAAAGCAAATTATTCTTCAATGCTGTTATAGATACAGATGGATCCATAATTAAATAAATAAATCTTGATGTTTACATTTTCAAGTCATAGGAAAATGTGCTTTCTTCTGAATGCTAATGTAAACTAACCATAAGTGTATATTTTTTTTCTTATTATGAAAACTAATAATACCAAAGGGAGTAAAATTATTTTCTAAGTTTTGGTGTTTCACATTTAATAAAAAAATTCAAACAATTAACAGAATCTGTATCATTTTCAATTAAATGATTACATGGCCAAAGTTGAATATGTAATATCTCTCTTAAAGTATCTTACAGTAAGTCTTATCTCTTAACATTAATGCTTACCCTCCATTTTCCGAGCAATGCCATGTTGAAACACTGTCTCAACTTGAGTTCTTCCTAAAACACTTGTCACTTGGACTTTCACAGAGTATCTTCCTCCTCCTGAAAACTCAGTAAAGTAGTTGGAATAGAGTCCATCACTACTCCAAAAGTCTGGATCTACATAAAGCACAGATGTATTAGTTTCTTTCATGATTTTGGATCTTGGTTTAACTTTTCATCACAAAGTGAACATTTATCACCTTTAATATTATGTATATTATTCACATAGCAAATGGTGAAAGCTTATTCACTGAACTGTTCTCCATCTGAAAAGTTCAAGTATAGTAATCATGTGAAAAAATTAGATATTCAACTCATAGAAGCTTTTATTCACTCTCTTAAGATATTATGATAATATAAAACTTCATATTATAAAAACATACAATTGGAGTATTTTTTATAGAATTACTTCACAAGTTATCAGAAATTTTTTTATAACATTCTCTGCTAAAATCGGAACTTAATAAAGTGTGTCATAGCAGGAATGTGTTTGACTTCACTTAAGACTACAGAAAATGGGGTAGTCTCTAATTTTGTTATCTATAAAAGCATAGCAAGTACAAGCCTAGAAGTTACATTTTGCCATTTGTTTATTCATGAAACATAAATAAAATAACTGCATTTCCTCTTCTCATAGAAATCAAATTTGAACAAAATCAAAACCTGATGATTTTTCTAAATAAATTATACAAATGTACTTTGCAATAATAATAATAATAATTTGGCTTCAGATAATAATAAAAGTATATAATAGCTCAGACACTAAAGTATTATATTCAGGAAAAACAACATGTCACTATTTTCCTCAACTTCTCACTCACTGATTATTTTCTCTTTAGTTAAAAAAATCTCAAATCAAGCAAAATCAGTTGTTAAACTTGTCTGATATAGCTTACCTCCAAGGCCATTGTCAGGCAAGTTTTTATAAACAGTTGCTCCATCAGGGCGAGAGATTTCAGCCATTACACAGGCACCACTAATAGGTGATACTCCCTGGCGAACATCAGCAACAACAATCACACGAGTAGATAACTTCTGTAAGTTTTAACACAGTATGATGAAGTCTAGGGTGAAGCTTAGCAAACGGTTTGTTTCAGTAAAGCTTGAGTTATAAAAATGACTTTTTGTAACAATTCACTTATAAGTATTTTATATATTGAAACTTTATTTTAAATTGAGAGAAAAGTAGGAATAATATTTTTTAGATAAACTTATCCAGGACAGCTTTAGCTTTACAACACTTACTCTTCCTAAATGGCCTGTGGGGGTTTCATCCACAAACAAGTGGACAGATACTTGGACTGGTTTTACTTCACGATTATGTGGTAATGATGTAACAGTAAGAGTAGCATTTGGTGTAGGTTCCATATTTTTCAACCAAATTTCATATTTCCAAACACCAGTCTAGAAAAGAATAATTATTATTGAACACAAAATCAATTTTTTAATAACTGTTTGTTTCAGATTTTTGCCCAAAGTTACACAAGGGATATATGTGCATAATCTTCCCTAATTTTGTACTAACAAACTAGAGGGAAGACAGTTACTCAATAACATCCATCTATTATCTATTGTTTGACAGAATAGTTTGATTTCACATACTCTTAAAGCAAACCCTGGCCCCAAAGTGTGGAGTGGCAATCCACGAAACACAGTCTACACACACACACACACTAATCATTAGGTCAGACCTGGCCCATTTTTAGAATAAGCTAATGGATTGATACTCAGTTGTAATACAAACAAAATTTATTATGACAAGTGCATCTACTGATGTAACTCAAAACTAAATAGTAATAATACTACACATATTATGTGTTTGTGAACTGATAACTGCTCAACAAGTTTCTGATTCTTTACTGTTTGTTTTTTATGTTTACACTTACAAATGTTTTTACAAACTGTAACTTTATAGAGATAAACTTCATGTAAAGACAGCCTTCATAATGTTGACATCTTCTTATGATGGACAGTCTTTGAAGGTTTGGACTAATAGTTAAGGATTGCCTATTTAGTTTAACTAGTGGCCAATATAATCAGATTTCAAATTATTGTCAAGGTTAGTAGCCTATAGAATCTCCTGAATGTTATTTACTAATCTTTTTTATTGCAACAAATTAATTACGAATTAGTTTCTTTCTTAAGGTTCAGCTGCTAATTGTTTACTGTCTTCAGAGTAGTTACTTATAATTTTGGTGTAAAAGCCTTGTTTCAAATTCTAAGGTTTTTTTAAACACATTACCTCATTTGACAGATTGTAGATGATATGTCTGCGCATTCCATCACTGGAACTTCTGGCATGGTCTAATGTGTACACTGAATGGCTAGTTGGGCTAGTTACTTTGAAGTTGGACACCTCTAACGGGTAAAAGTAGGAAAAGAGTAACATGGTATCCTTTCCAAGTTCTGGATCTACAGGAAAAGTCCCCATTACATGGTCCCAGTTCCAAGGTACTTGTTGAGAAATGATCTGGTAATTTTCAAAAATACTTAGAGCAAAATTTACTGACTGGATAAATTGAAAATGAAAGAAACAATATTAAAGTTACAGAAGTAAAGCTATCACAAATCAGAATACAGACCATAGTAAAAAATATCAAGACCTTAATGTTTTTAATGAATTTTGTATATTTTTTTATTGTACCAGATTTTTAAACATTACTCAACTAAATCTGTAAGTTAATTCCTTAAAAAAAAACAAGCGAGTATCATAAACACACAAGAACATAACAATGAAATGCATCAGAAACAGTAAGAAGTAATTAGACCTAAACATTTTTATGAGTTTTTCAACTCTTCATTTAACTGGATCAAGGTTAATGAAATTATAGGCCCACATGTATATATTACTTAATAGCTTGCTTATTCATATTACCAAAATAAACCTGACTTAATATGCAATGTTTTTTAAAAACAAAATCTATTTTATGAAAAGTATCATCACCAAAGCTATTTGTTTAGATAATCAGGAAATATAGATGTTTGAAAACATTTTTCAATATTGGTACTCCATAAGAGTAGCAGAAATTAAGTATTTTGTTAGCTATAATTTCAATGTTTCAACTTAGATGTTAACTGTAGGACACATGACGTTAAGTAGGCCTAGAATATCTAAAATGCTATAGAAACACAAAAATCAAGTAAATTATATGAATATTTAGAAGTGAGACATCAGATATAAATATGAGTGGATCAGTCAATTAGTAAGCTAGCAGTGAATCAATGAGAGGAACCAGACTGGAAATTAGATGAAGGAACAGAAAAAAAAAAAAAGGATCATGGCATAAGAAGAAATTTATAGAAAATTTAAAGAAGATAAAGTGGTAAGAGACAAGAATTTTAAAGAAACGATCAAGAAAGTACTATTTAAGAAGAATTAGAATAAAAAATAAATCCACTTGAAGACAAAATTAATGAAGCTATAGGTTATGTACAAATGAGACATGAACAAAGCAAAGAAAGACACCAATGAGATAGAAAAGAACATCAGTGACAAAATATAACATATAGAAATAACTCATTAAATGCAAATAACAAACCAGCTACACCCCTTTCTGCATCAGATGAAAAATTCCAACCTCAAACACCATTTACTACAAAATATAAAATTTGATTCTTATTTGATCTACACCTATTACCACTACTACTGTGTCATCTGTAGCTGCAGGACCCAACTGGACTACTTCATCCGTAACATCACTAAATCAAGTTCGAGAATTTACTTTCCAGTTCAACATTCTCCAATGAGAAACCAATGGACTATTGTGTAAAGGTACCATGGGAGACATAACAGGTTTAATTTGAAATAATTTTCAAATTGAATGAGTGGAATAGTAAATAACAAACTATTTATCTTGCTGCCCAGTTTTAACAATAATAAGTAACCTTCCAGGTGAGAGTCATAACAATTATCAAGCATTAGTATCTGCCTTATCCAACAAGATACACACCAGTAGAAAGTATCCAAAACAAAGTTTCAGAGCAGAGTATAGAGAAAAAACGAGTCCTTACCCACACTTGCAGTAGATTTGGAAAGACTTGCTCAGTTATCTCACTTAGACATTTCTTGTAAAATGATGTGTTATGACAGCAGAAGTCACGTGGCGCTGCTGATGAGTTTCTCGAATGATCAGTGAAGTCCACGTATGTTCGAGAGGCCCTCTTTGTTAGTGTATAAGGCTGGCAGGGAAAGCCAGCATATACGAATGAAGAGAGAGCAGTACTTACCTTGAGTTCCATGTATTTATGATTCTGTTAGTTTCAAGCTAGTGATCCATAAAGTGTGTGTTTCGCACTCATCGAGAGCGAAGTTATCGAGATTGTGAATCACTGTGATTTATAGCATGTATTATAGAAGTTGTTAAGTTTAAAGTGATGAGAAACGTACTGATTGTGGAACTTCTGTCTACTAAAAGTTGTATCAAGAAAGAATAAACAGGTTTAATAAAGAAAGGACTTATATCGCTGAAGATCCTCGGAAAGAATTTATACCGGAAGCAAACAAACAAGAAGATATGTAACAAATTGATGTCAGAGAGTGGGACGGAAAAGAAAAAAGAAGATGGAAACGTGAAGTGGCAAATCAAACTACAGTTTAGCAGATTTGATGGCAGCAATACAAGAACAGTAAAAGAAACAAGAAGAACGAGAAAATAAATAAGAAGAACCAGAAAAGAAACAAGAAGAAAGATTACAGCAGTTGTTGGAGGGAAAAGAAAAGAAACAAGAAGAGAGATTACAGCAGTTGTTGGAGGAAAAAGAAAAGAAATAAGAAGAACGAGAAAACAAACAAGAAGAGAGGCTACAGCAGTGGTTGGAGGAAAAAGAAAATAAAGAAGAGAGGCTACAGCAGTGGTTGGAGGAAAAAGAAAATAAACAAGAAGAGAGACTACAGCAGT